GAGGTATATCTTAATCACCTCAGGCCCTTGCCCAGAAAAATGAGAGTCAGGCTTCTGCACATTCAAAGAGGCAGGTGGGCAGACACCAATCAAGATGAGCAAGGGTCACTTTTAAGTACTCAGATTCTCTGCACATAGGGGTGGTCAAGTCTATTGCTCTTCAAAGAGCAACCGTTTGTGGGTCTGGAAGGATGTAGGATTTCCTCTGTTCATTTCCCTGTCAGCCCATTTCTCTTAGTGACTTCTGGGTGATACTGAGTAACATAAATAATTTTGGATAGTTTTTCAAATATAGCACACTTTTCTTTGGTAATTTTTCTCAGACCCACGGGCTTGGCAAGTGACTTCTCTGGTTTTGAACAAGACTCATAATGAAAGTTAGTTTTAGGTAACTTGTGCCCCTTCACGGTACTGATTTCAGAAATACAATCATTGATTTTTCTGAGACAGGGTCTCATTATGTAGTTGCAGCTGGCCCAGAACATGCTATGTAGATTAGGCTGGCTTCCATCTCACAGCAATCTGCCTGCCTCTGTCTCCCATGGACTGGGATTAAAGGCATGTGCTGCCATACCCATCCCTGAACTCATATTTTGTATATAATCATTACTCTTATAATAATATCACTGTCTAGATTAGTCTTCTTTTTAATGAAACTCTAGCTATGCTTACTCTTAATAATACATTTCTGTTCTTATTAAAATTATTGCTAAAATGATCACATAAGTAATGAACCAATACAGTTACACAATAAAATGATCACTGTTTGTACCCCATCCAATTAATTTTTGTTTTAAATCTGCATACTTCACAAATCCATTTAGTTAGTCTTGGGTTGACAGCTTTGTTTCAGTGATCTTAGTGTGAAGGCTTCTACAAAGATGATTTTAGAGTTTATTTTGATTATAATGTTGTTTTCCAACTCACAAGCACATTTACTTCCATAAGTGTTTATTTTTAATGTATTTTATTTATTATTTTTATTTTATGTGACTGAATGTTTGCCTGCATGTATGTAAGAGCACCTGTGTCATGTAATGCCCTGCAAAAGTGAGAAGATGGTGTTGGATCCCCTAGAACTGGACTTATGGACGGTTGTTAGCAACCATGTGGGTCTGGGACTCAAACACGGGTCTCTGGAAGAACAGCAAGTGTTCCTAATGGCTGAGCCATCTCTCTAGCACTTTTTTTATTTCTTAAAAAATTAAGTAGAATGAACTGATAACACAGTGGACAGTAACAGGGATAACAGAGTATATGGGATCCAGTGGGGGGCGGCAAGGCTATAAGAGGGTGCCATTTAGGATGCAGGTATAAAGATGAATAAGATTGTTTGGGATGTTCTATATGAAATACACACACAAAAGTCAATAAATAAAAAAATGAGTTATTTGAGGAAGAATCATAAAAAATTGCTTCACGTTAATTAGTAGATATGAAAAACATTACCATTGAAATCTACCTGATGACTTTATATCCATGCTTAGGTGCCAAGGATCTCAGAAAGTAACTGACCATGACTAGTAATAATCAGATATAAAGAGATTAAAGATGCATGTGCAGACATCTAAGTGTTAGTTGCATTAAAAATGAGCTTATCTGTATGAAACATAGAAATGGAGATCTTTCTTAAAGGTTAAAACCTCATTTAATTTTATGCCTTCTAGGGTTTATACTGAGCACGATAATGTATTGCTTTATTAATTCAATACTGTGAACCTAAAAATTTGCTCTGGAAACTGTTATTGACTATGTCAGTGCTGTTGTAATAAAATGCTTCTACTAATTATGTGGTTATTAAATAAATTTAAAAAAAGAATAAGAAGTAGGAATTGGCTAGGCAGCTAGGGTAAAAAAGACCCCAAAGGAAAGTAGCCAGTTTCTTGGCTAAAAGTCAAAATGTCCTTGGGCTTCTTAGCAACATACTATGTTCCAAAGGCCAAAAATATCAAACGTATTTAGGAGCTCTTATCTAATCCCTAAGAGGATTTTAGGGTTACCTCTTCAGAGGGGGGAATGTTAGAGTAGCCAAAATCCAAAAGAAAGAAAGAAAGAAAGAAAGAAAGAAAGAAAGAAAGAAAGAAAGAAAGAAAGAAAAAGAGTATATAGGAGGTGCTGGAGGGGAGGGAGTGGGCATGGATTTGATCAAAACACCTTATATGCATGCATGAAATTCTCAAAGTTTTTTTTTAAAGTTAAAAAAATTAATTAGCATGCAGTGTTAGATTTCATTCTGAAATGCTAAAAATAATTGTTTTGTTAATTCATTTGCCCTCTCTTCTCCCCCATCTCCCTGACCCCCTTGTGCCTTTTAACTACCCCAAGCCTCCTTTCCGCTTTTATGTCACTTTTTTATGTCACTTGTGTTCTTGTGCCCCCCCTCCGGCTCTTTTCTAGTTTCGTAGCCCACACTTACATGCATACCCATGAACATTCTACTTTAGGATCTGTATATGAGAGGTTACATGGGACTTTTTGTCTTTGTGATTCTGAGTGACCTCGCTTAATATAATACTTTCCAGCTCCATCCGCTTTCCTACAAATTTAATTTCATTTGTCTTTACAGCTGAATAAAATCTCACTGTGGATAAATATCACATTTTCACCATCTAGGATGGTCCATTTCCTATTGTGAATAGAACAGCAAATTATAGCTCGGGCCTATCATCCTAACATTTGGGTGGTGAAGGCAGGAGGATCAGGAAGGAGTTCAAAGCTGAGCTCAGCTACGTAACGAGTTTGAGTCCACTTCGGGCTGCATGAAACCCTGCTTCAAAAAACAAAAACAGAATAACAAGCGAACAAACAAAGAAGGAGGAGAGAAGAAATCATAGAAGAAATTCCTTTATGGGTCTGGAGAGATGGTTCAGCAGCTAAGAGCACTGACGGCTCTTGCAGAAGAACTGGGTTCAGTTCCCAGAACCCACATGGCAGCTAACAACTGTCTGTAACTCTGTAATTCCAGTTCCAGGGGATCTGGCTCCCTTTTCTGACCTCCACAAGCATTACATGACACAGATGCACTTACATACATGTAGGCAATATACTCATACACATAAAATAAAAATAATAAATAAAATATTTTTTAAATTGAACA